TTTATTTATTGTACTGATTCTTGAACCCAGGACATTCTATCACATTCCAGCCCTTTTGTTTGTTTTTAAAATTTGAAAGAGGGTCTCACTAAGTTGCAGAGACTGTCCTTGAACTTGTGATCCTTCTGCCTCAGACTCCTGAGTAACTGTGACTACAGGTATGCAATACCATGTCTGGCTCATTTTATTCATGATTTTTCAATGTGAACATTTCTTAAGTTTTCATTTCATGCCAATAGTTATTTCTGAAATCGTTTTTTTTTTTTTTTCATCAAATCATTCTCCTAACCTCTTAGGGAATGTAATTATTCTTCAGAGCATACAACTGACATGTAGGATAACACATATGGCCATCCTTTCACAAATAAAATTAGAAAAGCAGGTGGCAGATAGGGGCTAAATATATGTTGGTGCTTATAGACCAGTGAATAGACACACAGGATATGCACACACACACATGCACAAACACACAGGAGGAGAGAATATTCCCCCAAAGGAAGGAAGCGGTCAGAAAAAATGTCTAAGATACTTGTGGCTTCAGATTTCACAAAGTTCAAGAAGAAACCTCCTTGAAGTCCTTGGAGAACACGTGTGAGTTGTGTTATGTGTCATCAGGGGGCTGCTGTAGTAAGAATGAAAGGGGAGGAGACATGGAGAACAGGGAGCTGTGAGGTCTGTTCAGTCTCAGATGAACCACAAGGGACTCRCCTGCAGCACCAGCCCTCAGAGGCAGAGGCCTGTGCAGCCTTGAGTTTGTAGGGATTTTAGGGTCGCCCAGTCATTTTAGAGCAGAATGCATGGTTTAGACATGATTTGACGAAAGCTTCTGGAAGGGTGGCACTGAAGGGAAGTTCTTCTCTTGTCTCTCTGTCTTCCTCTGCCCTCATGGGGACAGGAGGCCATTCCTGGAATGACGGCAAGCCCTGCATGAATAGGTGATAGTTCTACCTGCTAAGTGTGATTGCTATGGTCATGGGGGTGGAAATTCTCCAGATATCTCCAAAACTTATCACAGTTTTACAATGATTTAAAAAAAAGGAGGAGGAGGAGGAGGAGGAGGAGGAGGAGGAGGAGGAGGAGATGATAATTGTGATCTTGTAAAGTGCTCAACTGCTTTCAAGCTCAACTCCAGTGCTTGAAAGCAATAAGAACAAAATCACACTGTCCTTATTTTCCATTAAGCTGGGCTTCAATCAATTATCTTCATTTCTATCTTTTTTTGGCCTCTAGCCCTATGACCTTCATTCAACCAAAGTAGTCATATTGATACAGTATTTTGTGTGTGACAGGAGACAAAGTTAGCCAGAAGATTTTCTATTACAATGTTGTTCCAAAGAATAGAGATGAACTAATCAGGACAAGAAAAAGCTCCCCTATTGTTCATGCAGTATGTATAGGCAATGCCTCAGGCAAAGTGGCATTGCCCAAGCACCTGCTACATATTGGACAATGTGTAGGAGAGGACACTTACCTGGAAGGAGGATTCAAGTGTCCTGTCTATGCAGGCAAACTTCTGTGAAGAGCAAAGGACTTAGGATGGAAGTGGCCCCAGCTCTAGTACCTAGCCAGCTCCTGTGAAGGAGGCAGTCTTGTCATAGGCAAAGGCCTGTGGGCCACTGACCTGTCTAGCTGTAACTGCTGATCTGAAGGCCAGTTCAGCCAGCACTATGGAGCATGCATTCTTCAAAATGGAAGAGACCTGTGCATGTTTAGTGGCATGGATATATGCATTCAAYTGAATTTTGGGGGGGTGTCAAATTTCTTTTGAATATTTATTATTTCAAGGGAATTTCCTGTTTTCTTTAATTTCTTTACATATTCACATTAAAATATTATGTGAAAAACTTAAATTGTATTTATTTACTGCATATATCACATATTTATGAACTTTTCCTTTATTGTTTTATTTCATTTAAACTACATAGATACTTTGAATGATAGATTATATTTGTAATGACTGTCTATGGTCATTGTAATAATTTTGATTCTTATTGCACCAAAGAGTTTTCATTGTAATGGTTCCTTTTGTTCTAGATAACTTTTATTTATATGCTTGGGCTATAAAATCACTCTTACATTTTTGCTCTATAAGTAAGAAGCAGTGTAAGGGGTGGGATCCAAGAGGGAATGATTGAAAATGAAAACTGTTATTTTTGAACATGTATTTCGCAGCATGAGAACAAAATGTGTTCAGCTGTTCATTTTATAAAGAGAGAAAAATACTTTTAAAATTAGAATTATACCACTCAGAGTTTTTAATTCATGCAGTCAGAAGAGAAATATAAATGCTCCATATGTAGAGAAGARAGTCAATTTCAACAAAACATGGTGTTTAAATAGCTCTCCATAGAACATATTTATTTAAAGAAAGGAAGACAGTTGATGGTCAGCAGTCAAGCATTAAAGTCTGTGACTAGATTTAACAAGAATCAGACAAGAATGGAGCTGGAACTCAGAATGACGAAAGTGTTCCAATTCTGTGAGATGTCTGTGAGCCCCTCCCATCTATTGACCATCAACCTTAGTATCACCACCTCTTTGCTTCTTCTGAGCCAGGATAGGGCTCTAATTCATGGTTCCATGAACTCCAGTGTTGACTTTGAATGACTTTTTTTWAAAAAAATGGAAGACTCTCATGAATTAAATGTGGGAGTTGGCTCATTTCTCCAGCAGAGGTGATGGGTCTGCTCTGATCAGCCTGTACTTTTGTACTTATGCTCCTTTGGGTTTTGTGCTGTCTCAAGAGAAGTTTTGCTAGATGTGCAAACAAAACAAACCAGCCTCCTGACCTCAGGAGTATCAATGAGCCTGTGACCTTGGCAGCCCCAATAACACTATCACAGCAGGTCACTGAGCTAAGAGTTGCCTTGGTGGGAATGTCCCACAGAAGGCCTTCATCTTGTTAAGCCCCAGTAAGTGGTGGCCACTCACAGTGATGTGGTGAGGTTGGTCCAGTTTGTCTAGGGTGCCTCCTGCTGTCCTTCAGGTCTGCTTTCATCTTTCTCTTATCTTATAGGCTGATGGTGGGCTTTTCTTTCCCTTTTCTTGTACCATCCCATCCTGTAAAAAAAACCTCTTTCTACAAAGCAGTCAGTATTCATGTGAAAGCCCAAGCATTAAATCTTGAGGTTTTGGAATGTTGAGTTTTATCTTCACTGGATGGTTTTTCTTCTTGCAGTGATCAGAAGGGAATTGGCAATTATATTTAAAATAAAGAATCAAAGGGCCTGGTGTATTTCAAAAAAAGAAAAAAAGAAAAAGGAATTAAGGATTATAGAGATTTCTCCTACAAGATCCCTCAAAAGAGCAAGAATGGAACCACAATATGACCCAGTTATCCCACTCCTTGATATTTATACTTAAGAACTAAAATCAGTGTACTGTAGGAATGCAGGCACATCAATATTTATAGCACCACAATTCACAATAGCCAAGTTATGGAAACAGTCCAGATACCCATCAACAGATGAATGGATAAARAAAATATGGTATATGTACATCATGAATGTTTTAGTCCACTTTTTTTTTGTCACTGTGACTGAAAGACCTGACAAGAACAATGTAGAGGAGAAAGAGTTTATTTTGGCTCTCAGTTTCAGAGGTCTTAATCCATAGATGGCCAACTCCATTGCTCTGAGCCCAAGGTAAAGCAGAACATCCTGGCAGAGGGCATAGTGGAATAAAACAGCTCAGGATATGGCAACAAGGAAGCAGAGAAATCTCYGCTCACCAGGGACAAAATGTATACCCCCAAAGCATGCCCCTAGGGTCCCACCTCCTTCAGCCACACCTTACTTGCCTACAGCTACCACCAAATTAACAGTGGACTACTCCACTTATCAGAAACTCTCATAATCTAATCATTTCACCTTGAATGTTCTTGTATCATCTCACACATCAGCTTTTGGAGGACACCTCAAACCTAAACCATACATAGCAAAGAAGTTTTACCCAACCATAAACAATAAAATATTGTCATTTGTGGGTAAATAGATAGAATAGGAGAACATTTATAATTCAGACTCAGAAAGTTGAGGATTAACTATTTTCTCTCTTATGTGGAAGCTAGGGRAAAAAAAAGGGGGACTGAAGTGTGGGAAACCATCAAAATGGAAGGGAGATCAGTGGAGTGGAGGAGAAGGGTTGAGGAGGAGGGGAAGAACAAGAAAGGAATGGAGTTGACTAAACTGTGCTAGGTACAGATGTGAATGTACCTTTGCAAATTCCATCATTTTGTGTACTTTGAAGTATCAATTTGTAAAAATAATATATAGCCAGGTACAGTGGTAAATGCCTGTGATCCCAGTGATTTAGGAGGCTGAGGCCAGAAGATCATAAGTTTGAGGCCAGCTTGGGCAACTTAGTGAGCATCAAAATAAAAATTTAAAAGATCTGAGGGTGTAAAGCACATCTGGGTTCAATCCCCAGTACAATAGATAGATAGAGAGAGAGAGAGAGAGAGAGAGAGAGAGAGAGAGAGAGAGAGAGAGAGAGAGAGAGAGAGAGAGAGAGAGAGAGAGAGAGTAGAAGAGTGGGGATATAAGTGGGTAAGAAGGGCACAGTGTTGGGAGTTGCCCCGCTCCAAAGACTAACTTCCCCATCCCCCGAGAAGAGCTGCCCAATGGTGAGCCCTGCTGGCTCACATGATCCTTACCCACCAATCAGACTAGCCCTGCTGACTCACATGATCCTTACCCACCAATCAGAAAGCACCCCATGTTGACTGTCAAACCGTTCAACCATTAAACTGTCATAATTGTCAACCCCCCCCTATAAATATGCAGAGATGTTCCTCAATAAATGGGCATTTTCTCCGATGACAAGCCTTGTTCATTCTTTCACAMGGAGTTACTGGGGATTGAATAGGGCAAATGATATTCCATGCATAGATGATTATGTCAAAATAAACTTGACTATTGTGTATAGCTAGGATGCACTAATAAAAACATAATTTCTTTTCTCCTACAAATTTCACCATGAGCAGCATTTTGATTTTACAGCGGAAGCCCCCTATGGTGGTGGATGATCTTTTTGAAGACATGAAAGATGGTGTCAAACTGCTTGCTCTCCTAGAGGTCCTGTCTGGTCAGAAACTGGTAAGATTTTTGTTGTTATTGTCTTTTTTTTTTTTAACCAAACTTGTCAATTAGTTTTATTTGGAATTTGGGGATTGCAGGGTTGAAAGAGTAGCAGGTCCTGCCCACAAGAGAGAAAGTTCTCTTTTGTAAATGATAAGATACTGGAAACCCTGGTTTATTGGTCATTTCTAGGAGCAAGCAATAAATTTCTTTTTGTTCTTGYAAATTCCCAATGGACTGAAAACATATTAGTAATGATAACTTGAGAAGTAGGAATAAAGAACAGAATAAAGAATAAAGAACCATAGAATTATAGACATGGCTAACTATTGCATCTGCTTAGTATCAGGAAGATATGCTGCACATTAATATCCACCTCACTTAAATGTTTGCTTTTCATTGGGAAAGATTGTTAGTCCATMTTTATGTATTTATACAGTTGTTTGTTGAAAATTGAGCTTAAAAGTAATGTGGCATTTTTCATACTCTTGTTAACATCCTCCGTCATCAATCATTTGTAACAAGAACAGCATGTTCACAGTCATTTTTTTATATGCCACAGAACAAACAGAGTGAAAAACAACATTGGCAGTGAGCTATAAATTATATTTTTCAGGACATTATTGAATAATAAAATATTTATTTTTTCTTGCATATGTCTTTTCAGAGTAGAAGAACAGTAAGTAGTTTATTAACATAAATTATTTATAAATTAAGGTTTACTGTAATTGGTAAAAGGAGTTCAGGAAGTATTGTCCAGAATGATCTATAACACACTGAACTGAAGATCAGAAATTGGCAGTACTTTTTTTTCTTTATCTCTTATATCTTGGCAATCATTATTACTTGGATAATTAGATTTTTAAGAGTGTTTTTGACTGAACATAACTTTCCAGGTAATTTTGTGTAGGGAGTCAGTCATCAAAATAACTTAAGAGTCATTTGTTGAAAAATGCAAATCGGTACGGTTTTGGGGTCCACCGTTCATGTAACTGGATTCTCACAGTAGCAGATGCATTTGGTGAACTGGTCTCCTCTGAGCTCGTCTGTGATTTCAGCTATGTCAGTAGTGGACATTTCCCCAAACACTGTGACAGCATCTCACCTCAAGTGCTAGTAGCATCTCTCTGGATTCCTGCCTGAGGGCTTTTATCAAAGCCACAAGTTGACAAGGCTTTCCTGAAGTATAAGAGAGTTAAGAGTCCCACAGGATCCTCAACCAACAGAGATAGGAGTCTGTGAATAAATGTTCAGCTTTGAATTTTTATGAGGGGCAATTTTTAGACATGTCTCAGAATTCTCCACAGGCCCTCCAGTGGGACTGAGCTCCAGTTACCCACGGAGGTAAATTCCAGTAACACTCCTTGTATTGACTTTCCCTGCTTTCCATCTCAGTCTTCACACATCCGCACTATGTTACTAGGAAAGAGCTTGCTAAGTCCCTGTCACAAGCTCTGCTTTGGGATGAACCATACAGAACATATATGAATAGACAATTTGGAATATAGACATATTCATGAGCACAACAAATCAAATAAGCACCAGGGTATAAGAGCTATTAGGCTGAAATATTGATTATCTTAAATACCTGGCCATCTTCCAAATCTCCTGAATTCAGATATTTATTTGAAGGTTGAAAGAGCTTTGATATGAGTATTCAAGAAGTATATCTGTCATAGTTTCAAAAGTAATTCTGTCAATGTACTTTCCCAACAGTCTATAGAAATCTTGATGGACATTTAAGTGCCAAGCTAGATTATTCTAGAAAATGTGTGTATATTTGACCGGACAATCTTACTTCTGTTTAAATGTCCTACACATTCAGACATAGTTAGAAGTGTGGAATCCTAAAGCTGGAGAGGTTTTCTGAATGAAACTCGGCATTCTTATTTAACAGGGAGGGAAACTGAGACATAGAAGGGCAATTTCCAGTGTCATCTTTACTATTATTTATTTATTTATACAGAGCCCTTCAATAGTTTGAATTACACAAATTGAATTTTTTTTCTGAAATTATAAATACGCTTTAGCAGTGGTGATCTTGATTTAAATTTTGTACATGTGATCATTATGGTTCAGGAGCACACAGAGAGGAAGCATTGTATAAAGAAATGAGCATACTGGGCAATCTTTTAGGGTTTTTGAAGGGAGAATGTGAGCAAGTGCATTTCCCCAGGAGCGTTCACATGATCAGGAACTCTTCAGCCACCCAAGGGGCAGAACCATTGTAAATGCCATAGTTAACCCCAGAGTACACATAGCCCCTGCCTCTGGGTGTGACCATGATAATCAAGAAAATGTGGCCAAAGGAATTAGCATCTTCTTCACTGCCCCCATCCCAGGGCGATTGCAATCTCAATATCTTAGTACCCTTTAATAGCCTTTTGTGACTCYCTTGTCTATGATTTTATTTAAAATCTTAGGGGGTTTTAAATTTTAAAATTATTATTCTTGTATTTCTTTACATACCTGGAATGCTAATTGTGAAGCATTCATTCTTTAATGAACTAATGATTATGCCTTTATTCACATGTAAACCACAGACTTTAATTTAATTTTGCCTTTGAGATATTTTTAAGAATGTGAGCAATTTCTAACAAAAAAATAGGAACCATAGAATTAAATGAACAGATTAAGGACCACAGACAAACTTTTCTTTTCTTTTCTTTTTCCTATTTTGGTGATTCCCAAAGTGTTTTTAGAAAGCCTTTTATACTTTGCACTCAAGAGAAGTCTAATAATTCACTTCAGAGTGCTCAATGGGCACTTTTAGGAAATCGTGAGCCTCCAAAGCTCCTTTACGTTCACCAGGTAACTATTAGTCATCAATCACATATGTAAATAGATAGGAAAAATACTAGAAAGAAAAAAGAAAAAGTTGGATCTTTATTCCATGGCCCACAAAAAGAATTACATCTACATGAATTAAGGACCTAATGGCAAAACACTTAAATATTTTAGCAGAAAATACAGGCAACTATCTTAGAAGACAAAAAAAAAATGCTATATTTAACCATGTTAAAATTAAGAACATTTAAAAAATCAATCACCTTGAAAAGAAGTGATTATACTTGTCCAAGACATTGAAAATTTATGTTGTGAAAGGCTTAGAAATATAATATAAAAAATACATAAAATATAGCTTTAAAACAAGAAGGGTACAAASGACCCACAGGAAAACTGCCCAAGAGATGGGAAAAGGCATTTTACAAAATAAACACACATCGCCAACGACCAGAGGAAGAGATGTGCACAGCATCGCTGTCTAGGAAAATGCAAATGAAGATCACATGGAAAGCAGTACATACATTTCACATTCATTCCATTCAAAAATGTTTTAAATATATGTCAAAATAAAGCCTTGGGGACAGGATGAGTCAACAGTGTCACTGGATGAGAGTGAGAAATAGTGGAATTGTTTTGGAAAAATTTGAAATTATTTTGCAAAAAATAAAAGTTGTGCTCCCTCTGACCTGATGGTTCTCCTCCAAGTATTATACATCCAAGACAAACTATGCTTGTACAAAAGGTGGTAAGTACAGGAATTATCCATCAGCATAGATTATTATAACCTATATAATATTATATCATGGAAATAACCCAGGTTCACCTCCGAGGGAGAACATATACAGGGCACATTATCACTGTCAAAATGCATGAAGTACGAATGAATCTCAGCAATATAATGTTACTCAGAAAAGTAAGTTTCCAAGRATTAACACAGTGCTGATCTATGTAATGTTTAAAAATCAAGGGAATGTTCATTAAGGATGCATCTGAATGAACTGGATCTATAAAAAAAGGAAATTTTAGGACTGGATTTAATGTGGTGGTTGTCTTGGGGAGAGAAAGACAAAAAGATAGGGATAKAAGGATGTGATGATATGGACTGATGTGGTTTTTTCTCACTGAATTGTGTGTCTTGGCTTTCTTTTAGTTGTCAGATTAATGTTTTTTTGTTTTTTTTTTTGCCTTGCAAAAATAAACTAAATAAGTGGGCTGGGCATATGGACAGATAAAAAAGCTAAGTCATGTATAACAGTTTCCCAGTGAAGAATAAATAAAAGTTTAAGAAGTGTATCTTCTACTTTAATATTTCTTTAAAATAACACCATTACATTATTACCCAATACACTAGTAATTGAAATGAAAAGATACTCCATTTTGAATTTTAATGGGAAATTATTTAGAGCTCTACGGTGTCAAAAAAGAGAACAGTTTGCAAGTTTTCAGCCTGAGAGAGACTTCTTTGCCTCTGTGAGACTGGTATTGGCTGTGAATGTAAAGAAGGCAACAATATCAACTTCACTGAATTTATTTTGACTTTTCAAATTATTGGTGTGGCTCAGAGAAAGCACAAATACATTTTGGTGACTTAAATGCAGATGACATAGTATCCAGATACCCAAACACAATGTTGGCTTGGCTTCATGTGTTTTTGGTCAATCAAATCAAGAGATGTCAGCACTATTGTCAGAATCTTTGCAGACCCCTATGACTGTAAAAAAAAAAAAAAAAAAAAAAAAAGGTGAGTGACCAAGAGTACGTTTCTTGTAAATATTTCCTGACCTGTAGGAACACCCATCTCCATAGACAGCATGGAACTTCATGAATTTCTGCTTTCAGGCACGCAGAAGCCCCAAAGGCAGCATTTACAGAGAAACTGGGAACAAATGTCTTTGTTAGGCGGGTGCTTCAGGGTGCAGAGGGACAGTGCTCCTTGGCATATTTGCTCACTGTTGAAGAAGTTGAATAATGTCAGTTGCTTTTGAATAGCTGAATAGCCTTCAAGTATAACTTTCATCCATTTAGATTTTTTAAAATGTGTGCTCTTTTTTGGTCCCTGTTCTTTTCCTTTTCACAGCCTTGTGAACAAGGACGTCATATGAAGCGAATCCATGCGGTGGCAAACATCGGCACTGCGCTCAAGTTTCTGGAAGGAAGAAAGGTAGGAAATGATAGAGAACAYTGGAAGAAGGAGGCATGGGCAAAAGAATGCTTCCAGAAGTAGCCATGGCTTCAAAGCACTGCCAGTTATCTATGCAGCAAGGACACATGGTATTATTATAAAATAATTTTGGATTTACAGTAAAGTTGCAAAAAAGGGTTTCACATCTACACTTCACTCAAATTCCTCTGAAGTTAAAAACTTATACAACCATAGTACTATTATCAAAATAAGGAAACTAAAATGATGTGATACTGTTAATGAAAGCATAGATGTTAGTCTAATTCCATCAAATTCTTCTCCATTGCCTTGCTTCTGCCCCAGGACTCAATCCAGAATCACACAGTGCATTCGATCATCTCTTTATTCTATAAAGAGTCYTCATTCCATTCTTGTCTTTCCTAACCTTTGATATTTTTGATACCGCCAATCAGTTATTTGAGCATAATGTCTCAATTTGAGTTTGTATGTTTTCTCATGATTAGATTGAAGTCATACATTGTTGGCAAGAATACCAAGGAAGTGATGTTGTATTCTTCCAGCATATYATGTTAGTGAGCATAGAATTCTGAAATGCCATTGCTAGTGAGGCAAACCTTGATCACTTGATATATAATGTTATGCCAAGACTATAAAGAACAGAAGTTATTCAGCTCACAGTTCTGCAGGCTGGGGAGTCCGAGAGCATGGTGCAGACACCTGTTCAGCATCTAGTGAGGGCCTTCTTGCTGCATGACAACATGCAGAGACAGAAACTTGAGTAAGCATGGGTCAACTCAGCTTCCTTTTCCTATAAAGCCCCCAGTCCCATCAGGGCCACCCATCCCACCCTAATGGGCTTATCTGATCCTAATCACCCCCCAAAGGCTGCCTCACCAATGCCATTGACATAAACTTGAGGATTAAGTTTCTAACACATGATATTTGAAGGATGCATTCAGATCATAGCAGGTAGTGTCTGCCATGATTTCCGTGATGTCATTACTGGTTTTTTTTTTTTCTCTTACACTTGATGAATAACTTAGAGGAGATCATTGAGACTGCTAAATCTCGGCTTCTCCTCCTAATTTTTACTCACTGATTTTTGCATCAATTTCTTTCAATAATTATCTCTGTACTCTTTGCCTACTGGTGATTTTGTGTTTCCCTCATTCTATCTACACTTATTGAAATCGTTCTGTAGGAAAAAAGATGTTCTTCCTTCTTCACTCTATTTATTGACTTATTCAACTAATTTCTTTCAGCATGGACTCATGTAAATTTGTTTTATTCATACTTATAATCGAAAACTGTTATTATTATTTCGTTGCTCAAATTGTTCCAGCTTTGGCCATTGAGAGCTCTTTGGCTGGCTTCTTCAAGAACAAGGAAGTGCTTCTTTTGTTTCTGGTAACTACAGGTGATTCAGGCTTATATGTTCCTGCCGCAGTCCTAAAGTCAATCACTTCTCTAAGGAGGCTTTGTTCCTGTTACTGGTGAATGGTGTTCATAAACCTAGATCTAGGGTTTGCTCATTGCTACTGAGGTGATGTTGCTTCTAGGCTTTCCCAGCAGATAGGTCCAAAAGTATGTCTGCTTACTCATTTCTGTATATACACATGTGCTTGCCCCCCTACCTATCTGTATGCATACATATATGTACATATATATGTATGGCTTCTCCTGTTTGTATGCATTTGTAAAAAAAAAAACACATTAGTTCAGAATGATTCATCTGATTCCAGCCTAATTCCACAAGGCTCATTCTAGCCTCACATGCTTATTTATTTCTATTTTCTCCAATAATGACAGCACTGGCTCTCATCCACAATATATTTGCTTATTTTTTGTAACCCTGCTATATGCATAAAATAGTTTTGGAATTGCTAGTTCATATTCTTGTCAGAAACAGGTTTACTAACTGGAAATCAATACTTAATATAGTTATTTTCCCCTTAGCATTATATTACCCAGTCATAAGACTATTTTCCAAATGTACTTTAATTATTTCTAGTCTTCCACATTCCTTGCAGTGTGCTTGAACTAGCAATTTTTAATAGTTATGTTTCATTGCTATTGTGTAACACACATGCGCTCATGTGCATGTGCGTACACACACACGCGCGCATACACACACACACATGCACATCCTGCTTTACTTTATATATTTTTTCTTTAATTTTGGGGAGACATTACCATGATTCTAAGAGTAAAAAACACAGTAGTAAAAATTTTCCTGATCTCTTTTCTTCCCTTCCATCCTCATTCCCTGGCCTCTAACTCCATTTCCCATCTCTCCTAATCAATCTCTCTAGTTGTAACATCCATTCTATGTTTCTTTTCAAATAAGATGTGTTTGCATATGCCCTCTCCTTTCCTACATGAAGGGTAGGATTCCATAGGTGTATTTTCTGGTTTTTTTTTGAAGTGTATCTTTATAATCACCCCAAATCGGTTCATGACTATTTCCACGATTCATTTTTAACAGCTGCATAGTATGCTGTTATCTGGATGTGTCACTGTTTGTTCAGCCACTCTTGTGAATGGGCACTGAGGTTGTTTCTAAGATTTTTCAAACACTAAGTGGAACTAATAACTATGTTAAAAGTACTTTCATCTTACTAGAGGCATGCATTTTCTAGGTAGAACCCTAGAAGTGTGTTTGCCAGGTCAAAAAGTGTGTGTGTATTTTTCTTAAATACCGCCATATTTCCCTCCAAAAGGGCCTCACCAATCCTCTTAGATTTAGCTTTTTTCTACTCTGTGGAAATTTAGTATGTCTGTACTTGGCAATAGCAAAACCAGCTTTATAAACAGGTATCCATAAACTTCTGGAAAAGGGAATAATTTGATTACTTCCTAACATCTACATGTACTAAGTTAATTCATTCACTTTATAAATGTACAAAACAGGAACTTGAAAAAAACTTAGATCCTGACCCTTAAATAACTTAGGTTTTGAAAAGTTGGCAATGCAGTGAATCAGGATAAAGTTGTTAGTCTTGCAAACTTCATGCCCTACACAGATTCTAGGAACTAGGACCATGTAGAAAAATACTTTTATCTCCTTATACAATATTGGGAAGTGTTTGCAAATCACTCTAACTTCATTATTATTGGAGAGCTTACCCTCTTCTTGCTCACCCTGTGTTAGCTTTTCATAGAAAGCAGAGTAAAGCCTTATGGAACAGGATATTAGAGGATTCCAGGATATTAAGTCTGCCATTTCCATTGTATAACAAGAATGCTTTAATTCATTATGAGAAATATTTATTGGTTAGAATAGAAAAAACAGATTTCCTCTTGTTAATTAATATCTTGGAGAAAACTGTAAAGACTTAATCTATGAAAGGCATTTTTTCTGAGGACTCTTCCCATTGAAGATTTGCTCCCACAAGGTCCATTTTCACAGAAAAAACGGAGAAAATTAAAAATAAATAAATACAGGAATCATATTTCTAAAGTTAACATTTGCCCTAGACACAAAGTATTACAGTTGAATATATGATAAACATTTTAAAAAGTAAACAATTCATAAACTTCTGAACTTTATATTAATCACACACCTCATGAAATCTCAGCTTAGTTACATGCCTGAGGAGTATGTCATTATTTTTTTAATTCATAATTTGTTTATGAAAAAAGATGCTGAACAGTTATTTCTTATATGCTATAGATATTGATGGACATAGAAGTTCATTTTGCTTGAACTTAAGAAACAATCGTTTTAATAATTGGAAGAACATAAAAAATGAATAATTAAGGGCATTTGTAGACAGATTGGAATCTAAGGAAAATGCTTTATAGTACATTGCCCCAAAACTAAATGCTAATGATCTCTATTTTACTATTTCTTGGCTTTACTTTGTTTTTTGAAATTTATTCTCAAAGTCATGCTCTAAATTTATCTTTTATTCCTTTTGAACAAATAATGCTGATTTTGGAAGGTTATTTATGTATGTATATCATCTTCTTCCTTTGTTTTACATGTCAGTCCATGTACAGAGGATCACCGGTTAGTACAAATTTTAGAATTTTTAATTCCTGATTTTTATAGGTAAAAGAGAACATAAGTTTCATGCTATTTGGTAGAAAACTTAAAAGTAAGTGCATCTTCTTAAGCTACTCTTCATGGTTTCTTTTTAGTCAACCTTTAAATGTAAAGAATAACCATTTTTTTTTGTTTGGAAATTTTTGTTGATAATTCCTTGCATGACGTTATATATTTTTTAAAATTTTAAATTAAAAAAGTTTTTGAAATCAGTTTTTTAGTTGTTACATTTTGTGCACCTAACAAATGCACCAGAAAGTTTCACTGAAACCATGTGTGCGTGTGTGTTCACGGCTCACCTTACTTACTCTTGTGTACCACCTCATGACCCCAAACCTTACTGGTGTCTAATAAAGTTCTAATTATTGTGTGATTAAATGGATTGTAATATTTATAGTACATTACTAATGCAGTTTTTCTTTTTAAACAGATTAAACTAGTCAACATTAACTCCACTGATATAGCTGATGGCCGACCATCAATAGTTCTTGGATTGGTGTGGACCATTATTCTATATTTCCAGGTATTATGCTACAGTTTCTTTTTCAGTTGATCTTATATCAAACAGAAGGAAATGGTAGTAGACATTTTAATAATGTCCTCTTTTCCCATAGGTTGGGGCGATCCTTAGCTTAGAAGATATGTTACCTTCACTCATAACAGGGTATTTGGTTGCAAGAGAATTTCCTCTTCTCTCTTGGAACCCTCCATTCCAAAATACTCCAATAGAGGTACCCACTCTGAAAAGTAGGTCAGTCTCAATGGAGGTGGATATAGGCATAGAAGGAGTTTGGGAATTCTTTTTCTTTTTTCTCTGGGAGTAGTTCTAAGCTCCAGGGGGGGCATATTAACCTCCATTCCATGCAGAATAATTGTTCTAAACATTAGGTTTTATTTTATTAGTTGTATCAGTCATTTTCCATTTTTACAACAAAATAACTGAGGCTGGGTAACTTACAAAGAAGAATATTTAACTTAACACTTTGGGTAACTGAAAGACCAAAAAGTACGGGGTCAGTTCTGCTGACGTCTGGTGGCTGTATCACATCAGGGCAGATGGCATCATGGATTGTGCCAGAGGGAGAGATCACAGATCACAGGGTGAGGCAGGAAGCCAGAGAGACCAGGAAAGTGCCAGACTAACAGTGCTCTCATGAGAACTAACCAAGGTCCTAGGGCAGCTCCCCAATGACTAGGCTCAAACTCCCCAAGGGCCAGCATCCCCAAAATTGCTACACCGAGGACCAGGCTTCCAACATATGAATATTCAGGTGACAAGCTCAGATCACATCTAAACCAGAGCATCAATTCATTCATGCATTCAACAAATATTTGTGACTGTAAGATATAGGGGCACAGTGAGCACAAAGAGGGATAAAATGTTCTCTTGTGCCCTATAAGAGCTCACACTTCAATGTCATTTTTATTGGGAAAAGTATATTCCAAGGAAAGAAAACCAAAGATGATTCTTATGTTTTTGCTCTCTGTTAACTCGTAAATAGATTGAAGAGTTGACCAGCAACCTGCCACAGCTACAGTCTCTGTCCAGCAGTGCCTCTTCTGTGGACAGCATCGTCAGCTCTGAGACTGCCAGCCCACCAAGCAAGCGCAAGGTGGCCACCAAGATCCAAGGAAATGCCAAGAAAGCTCTATTAAAATGGGTGCAGTACACAGCAGGCAAGTAAGTATCAAGGGTTTGTTTGAATTTGGAACCCTGTGATAATTTGAGTTATCGATTTATCGCTTATTATGCCTTCTAATGATTGCAAAATATGAAAAGATATTTGAATGAATGACTTTGGCTTTAGCTCTTATTTCACTGTCCTTGAACTAAAATGTAAACATAARCTCATCACCARTACTCCAAGAAAATGCTGTAATAAAATGAATTCTTTCTTCGTTCATRTGATTGGGCCTGATTGATTAAACTGATCAATTTTTCACTTTTGATTAGTGGCCTGAGGGCTAATTCTAATCAGATCATTATTTAAATTTTCTGTTCCTATTAAATAATGTTTGCACAAATAAATTACAAGCTCAAACTTGATTATCTCTTCAAAAGACTCTTGAATTCGATTTAATAATAATGYTAAGAAAGGTCCACATTCTGAAAAAACATTGTATTTGTTTCCATTCCCTGAAATTTGCTAGCAATTTTATTTTTTAATTTTTACCCTTTGTTCTTATATCTATAACACAGATTCCTTTGTCAACTCTTGCTTTATGAGTTGAAATTTAAATTTAYGTAACATTTTGTTATGATGGCAGATGGAAGATTACTGCTCTTCAAAAAAGTACCTTCTCATAGCAATTCCAATGGGATTTCTGGTTGATGATAGCAATATTTTGTGGTCTAATGTGGTCACTGTCAAGTTTCTTCTCATAAAAGTCGTGCATTTGTTTTATTTTCCTAAATAGTGTGAAATATTAACTAACTTTCTATCTTGCTTTACTTGATTGAATCTAATCTGAATCTGATTATCTACTTTAGGAAAACAGTTGTAAATAAGTACTTATTATAAAATACTGAGGTGCTGAAACATAGAGAGTTCTATTTTTAAAATGTTTGAAGAGCAAAAATAAGGAGAGAAAAATAAAGAATAGAGAAGATGTAATTAGTGTTACTAATTTATGTAGGTTTGTTTAGCTTTTAAAGTGTGTTAGTTGTTTTCTAATTTTAGGTATATTCTTATGATTCAGTGCAGCCAAAAATATTTCTGAAAGCAAATTTGTGTGACTCTTTAGACTCTGTAGTAGAAATTAAAATTAAAAATCCTTCCCATAATATTGGTGCACTATTTGATTATAAGCACACTGGACCTTACTAATCTCTATTGTAACTTAACTGGACAGGGAAAAGAAATGTCCTGGGTGGAAAACTGATGACCACTTTCTGACATTTGTCACAATGCTATTGCATTTATACTTTGTAATAATTCAATATGCTCTTCTATTGTCCATTGCTCCACACAGCATTAAACTAATAAAAAATAATTTGATTTTTATTTAATAACATAGTGGCTTGAGGTTAACTCAAATTTAATGCTGTGGGAGTTATCCTACATCGAATTTAGTTTCACATATATTGTGTTGGGTTTCTAAGATATGCAGAGATATGCTAACAGCGCAAAGTCATTCCTAMAACTTATGTTTGTGACATCAGTTTAAGCTGTACTTATCTGTATAAATGTCTAATATCATGGTCCCCAGRGGTGTCTACCCATCAATATACCAATCAGATCCATTTATCCAGTAACTGTGTAAACTGTAGAGTTTGGAAAGGTGACTCTTTGTCATGAAAATTCTGTAAGGACACATGACGTTTATGCCACCAAATTGTTGATAATTGTTGTGAAGCTTCCTTTTAYGTGGTCCCTGTGTGTACTATTTAAGCAACTTCTTACCTGACATGGATAGAAGACTTCAGGATCTGTATGTGTGTGACAACTTTCCTGAAATTGTTATTATCTTATGGGGAACTCTGTAGTCTGGATCACTCTCACAGGACTCTCACAGCCAATGGGAAGGTGGGAAATGAGAAAATATTTAGAAAGCACCTGACTGATTGCTAGAGTGTATTCACTATTTTCACACAAAGTTTAAAGATATTTGAGAAATGAGTCAAAAACTGTGTTAGTAAAACAAAATCATGAAGCCCTTTCTATTTTCTTAGCCAGTTTCATGGACTGCTAGTACATAGTCTCAGAAATCAAAGCACTAAGTTAAACCATTTGCGTACCTATTATTCACTGTCTAAGAAGAACGATTATGTTTTAACACAGAAATAAATCAGATAAACAAACAAATGAAGATATGAAGACCCCAAATCATTCAAAATTACCTGAAGTAAATGTAGAGCTGTTTTAGTCAGCTTTTTCAGTGCTGTGAATAAAGCACCCAACTAGAACAACTGTAGAGGAGGAAAAGTTTATTTGAAGTCTCATCATTTCAGAGGTCTCAGTCCATAAACAGCTGGCTCCATTCCTCAGGGTTCAAGGTGATGCCAGACATCATGGTGGAAGAGGTGGTATAAGGGAAGCAGTTCACATGATGATCAGAGAGCAGAGAGTGAGACTCCACGCTGCCAAATACAAAATATATACCCCAGAGCCACATCCCCAATTCCAACCTTCTTCAACCTCACTCTATCATTTTGGTTGCCACTCAGTTAATCCCTATGCAGTTATTAATTCACTGATTGGATTAAGACTGTCACAACCCAGTCATTTCTCCTCTGAACTTGCTTACATTGTCTTACATGTGAGCTTTTGGGGGACACCTCACATCCAAACCATAACATAATAGAGACCAGAATTGCCTGTAAACTGACCACATTTCATCACTTAAGTAATGCACAAGTTTTCCTTGGGTTTATAAGATTCTAAAAGGAGAAGTTTGAACTAAAACTAGAACTTTTGAGAAATATTAACTACTACTTTGATGTAATAAGAAATGGTGTGTATCTTCACACACACACACATTAAACACGTATATTTATTTCAGCAAATTTGCAAAAGGAAAAATGCACTGAAACATTTTAATGATTCTAAGATAGTAAATATTTAAGAAAACATTTTAAATATTTCTTTTAAAATAGCTGAAACAATTAAAAAGTTCAAGGAAACATTAAATAACATGGTGAATAGTTATTAGCTAGTTGTTTATTTGTGCCTTGCTTTATTATGTTAAAAACTAATATGAAGCAGCTTAAAGAGTCAGGAATATTTATAAATGAGAAAATGTGAGCAAGGAAAAATATAGGTAKAAAAGTAAGATGAAGATGAAATATACAAATGAAAAGTTAACAAGGACAAACTTTTCAACCTGTGTGGATATCAGATGTCTGCTCAAAGAATTTGTATCCATACCGCCAGAGATGCAAACTCTAGAAGAACCAAGAGCAGATTCGGGATTACAATTACTAAAGTCCTGTACACAGTTATTTTTAAAATATTTATTTGTAAAGCCAATGATTAAGTCTAGTGATGCTATTTTCAGCACATGATATTTTATGTGAACTGAATGCACTTTGGTAAAATGTGATTTAGAGTAAATCTGAAGTTTCCTGAGATTAAATTTAAGGGAATTTAGCAACTTATTAATGAGTATGATATAGTATTTTTTATGGAAATTTTGAGAATTTGGTAAAAACTCAGTGATGTTTTTGTTTTATTTAGGAACAACTATAAAGTGAATGACTAATTTTTTAAAAAGAATCTATCAGATGACTTTATCCATGAATATTCCCTAACCAAGTAGTCACATCTATAGGTTCTACATTTAATCATGGGGTCTCACTGATGTTCACAATCATCTTTGAAACTCTTTTTTGGAACTCCCTTTATAATTGAGAAATTGTATGTAGAAAAATCTCTTATGATTTTGCCTCATTTCTATTTCTAATCACAAAGTATCATTACCAGCTTGAACTGCTTTCCTAATTGTAACTGGCTTTGAACTTATCAAATCCATCACCAAAGAACAAAGATTTGTCTACAGAGCATTGCTTTCAAGATAATTCCAAACAGAAAAATTTAAAGCAATTTGATTTGTGGGGTAATGAAGTTATTATCTGGAATTGTGTCAATTGTGGCTCTTTTGTGACTACTTTGTGTATCTGATCACATCCTTTTGCTTTTGTATGCTCTGGTATATTGGATATGATGTAGCCACATCATCTTAGTCTGTTAGAACCTTGGCCTATATGACGTACTGTTGTTTATCATTAAAAATGTGTTGGATAGAATTTCTTAAAAAACACACACTGGTTAATTCTTGTCACTTTTGGTGTTTTTATCACTTTCTCTTTTTAAAATATTGTCACACATTTTCCTCTWAATGTATTTCCCTTTCAAAAATAAGTGTGAATTATTATTCAAATGGGTCATCTCAATTACTGAAAAAAATCTCATAAAAACTATAAATTTTATTATCCTCTAAAATATTTTTTTTTTGCTTAATTCCCCCCCAAAGGAAAAAAAAATCATTTAACTGATATAGTGCATCATTGGCAATGAGCATTGGGTTTTGCATAAGATCTTAAAGAAAGTACTTGTGTCTATTCAGCATGTGACACGATTTCTTTGTTTACCACACTAAGGCAGATCGGAATAGAAGTGAAAGATTTTGGGCGAAGTTGGAGAAGTGGAGTTGCCTTCCATTCCGTTATCCATGCGATCCGACCTGAGTTGGTGGACTTGGAGAAGGTGAAAGGCAGATCTAACAGAGAAAATCTGGAAGATGCTTTCACTATTGCTGAAACACAACTGGGCATTCCAAGACTGCTGGACCCTGAAGGTATGTTGAATAATTAATAACTGTTGCATACCTCACTGTAGGCTATTTGTATGTATTAAACCCACAAATTGCAGGACTCCTAAGGCTCTTAACAAGACAGAAAGCTGGAGAAAAGCATCAAGAAATACTGTCTTTCTGCAATAATTTTCTTCTGGATAAACATTTGCCACTGTATTTGGAAACARAATATGGTACCATTGCTCCAAACAGCTCTTTGACATAGTGTAACAGCCACATAAACTGAGCTTACTCAACTACCAAAGGGTGAAATGAAGGTGTTGGAAGTGTATGAAGGAACAAAAAGTTACTCTAAAACCCAGAAGAAATAGATCATTACTAATCTAAGACCATATATTCAAAATGTCAGTCATTAGATACTTAGAAATGAAGGCATTCATCCAATGTTTTGGTGAAAGTATCAGACTATCCAAACGGTTGACTACTATTTTCCATTCCAATTCTTTTGCATAATTTTTGTAAGATTGTGAATTTTAAGACTTTTTTAAAATGAAGTTAACTTTGGTAAGTATTCAAAAGACAGTTATGATAAAACTGTAATAAAGTAGTAAGTTGTTTCCATATTGAAGTAAAAGTATCAAAATGAATTTTCCAAATGTCATACATAATTCTTTATTTGTGTTGGAAATTGTGGAAATTCCCATTAATGAATGTGTAAGTGTAATACACGGTGAAAAACAAGTTTTTCTAAAAGATTAGCTTTCAGAATGAATTCTCACAGCCCTAAAGCAAAGGTGATSCCCTGGCATTTCCAAAAGAAAGRAATAGAGACCTGAGTGGGTTTCATSTGAGATGAGAGGCCCCATGGAGATCCCTTGCCACCTTAGGGTGCTGATTTGGGGCCCCACATTCACTCAAATCATTAAGGAATTTCCATTCAAGAATGCCAAAGGGGAAACTACTATGCACACATCACAGCCATCAACTGCAAGAGAGCTGAATCTCTTCATAGTATAGGATGAGAGTATAAAGCATTCTTTGATGTCCACTAGAATAGAAGGTCTTAATACTTCTACTAATTCTCAGAAACAGGTTGCTCAAATGCAAGRTTATCCCAGATAGAAGTAGATCTTCTGTTTTCCTAAAGAATTTTCTCTTCAAAAGTAATTTAGCCAACTTGAATGTATAAACTTTTAGACATACAGAATATATAGACCAATACCTATTGTAAAAGTTATTTTATAAGTTAGGCATATATATATTGAATGGCACATACTATGTTAAATCATGTATTAAATTTTGCTTTTCTTTCCATGTTTCCACTTCATGAAATAGTTTCATTCCTTCTTCACATACCTCTTTAGTATTAGTAAAGAGTGTCAGTATCAAGTATGACTGATCRTGTCACTTCTAAAATCACTTTTAAGTCATCTAAGAAATTCCAGGATCTTTTTTTTTTTCAGAATCCTACATTGATTGTCCCTAGAAATTATATCACAAATTAAAAGAAATATTCATCAATTGTTGTGGGTTTTAGGTTTGTTTGGTTTGGTTTTGGCTGTATATATTGTTCTTCAAAATGTCATTGCAGTTATTGACTTTTAAATGGGTAATTTAAAGATTTGTTTATAACATTTGGTACATTTTATTTATTCAGTCTTCTCCCCACAAACATTTACTCAATCTGCCAAAATTCTGGTGCCTTATTTATACCAATTTTATAGAGCAAATATCTGTAGATTTGAAACCATATGATTGAGATATTTTTCAGGCTGTATCTCCCTCAAAAAGTACTTGATTATTTAAACTATTATAATTTATTATTTTTATTTTTTAATTGCTTTTATTTTTTAAATACATGRCAGCAGAATGCATCACAATTCTTATTACACATATAGAACACAATTTTTTATATCTCTGTTTGTATATAAAGTATGTTCACATCAATTCATGTCTTTGTACATGTACTTTGGATAAGGATGTCCACCACATTCGACCATCATTTCTAAGCCCCTGCCTCCTCGCTTACCCTCCCACCCCTCTGCCCTATCTAGAGTTCATCTGTTCCTCCCATGCTCCCTCTCCCTACCAGACTATGAGTCAGTCAAGTTATATCAGAGAAAACATTCGCCATTTGTTTTTTTGGGGATTGGTTAACTTCACTTAGCATTATCTTCTCCAAATGCATCCATTTACCTGCAAATGCCATGATTTTATTATCTTTTATTGCTGAGTAATAAAAATATTATTATTTATTTTAAAGGAAGAAATAAAATTGTCTTTGTTCRCAGATGACACAAATGTCTAGATACAAAATTTTAGAGCAAGATTGCAAGTCTAAAATTTTATATCTAGACATTTTGTATCTAGAAGGTTAATATACAAAAGTGGATTGCTTTCCTATATACCAGCAATGACTACTTGGAATATGAAACATAAAACACAATACCATTTATATTACTATGAAGGGAAAAAGTGTAAGTGCAAATTAAAAAAAAAATATACAAGATTTCATAAGGAAAACTACAATGCAAATGAAGAAAGTCAAAGAATATCTAAAGAATGAGGAGATATTCCATATTCATGAAGAGAGGAAGACTCAATTTTCAGATGTCAGTTCTTTTCAATTATTTATTTATTTATTGTAACAAAAACTAAAAGTTTCAGCTTAATAGAAGTATATATGGCAGAGTGGTAGACCAGAGGAAGTAAAGAGGTTGAGGTGGTGTGGGGGCTGTTGATAGCAAAGATTTCCTGAGGATTAGTCAGGAAAAGGACAAGGTCACCACATAGCAGGAAGAATGAATTGATGAAAGAAATAACATTTCAAGCGAAAGGCCAAGGACAAAGGAAATACATGAAAAAGATGGGGAAAATAGTCAGATATTTAAGTGTTAATCATGATTTTCAGATTTTATGAGAAGAAAATTACTAATATACAAAGATTTCAAATTTTTTTCTCTGTAAGCCTTCCAAGGAAGTCCTGCCTTGCTGTTCTAGTTGTGGGACTACTATTTTTATTTGTTMTTTTTAGATATACATGACAGTAGAAYGTATTTTGGCATATTGTATATACATGGAGTATAACTTATTCTAATTTGGTTCCCATTCTTGTGATTGTACATGATGTGGCATTTCATTGATCATGTAAATCACATATGAACGTAGGAAAGGATGTCCAATTCATTCTACTATCTTTTCCATTCCCATCTCTTCTCCTTTCCCTTTACTCCCTTTATTCACCTTTGTCTAATCCAAAGAACTTCTATCCTCATCACACATAACACTTATTGTGCCTTAACATTCACATATCAGAAAGAACATTTGGCCTTTGGTTTTGGGAGACTGGTTTATTTTATTTAAAACAATAGTTTCCAGTCCCATCCATTTACTGGCAAATGCCATAATTTCACTCTTCTTTATGGATGAGTAATATTTTATTGTGTGTATATACCACATTTTCTTTATCCATTCACCTTTTGAAGTCATGAAGTTCATTTGGAAAAATAAGAGGCCCAGAATAGCCACAGCTGTTCTTAGTGAGAAAAGTGAAGCAAGAGGCATCACAATACCAGAACTTAAATTATACTACAGAGCTATAGTAACAAAAACAGCATGGCATTGATACATAAAAAAGATATGAAGCCCAATGGTACTGAATAGAAACACAGAGACAAACCCATACATATATATACATTTATCTCATACTAGACAAAGACACCATAAACATACATTGGAGAAAAGATAGTTTTCCAATAAATGATGCTAGGAAACTGAAAATACATATGTAGTAGAATAAAATTTAACCCCTGTCTCCTACCCTGCACAAAACTCAAAGTAGACCAAGGACTTAGGCATTAGAYCAGAGACCCTGTGCCTACTATAAGAAAAGAAGGCCCAACTCTTCATCATGTCAGCTTAGGAACCAATTTCCTCAACAAGACTCCTAAACTGCAAGAAGTAAAATCAAGAATCAATAAATGGGATGGTATCAAACTAAAAAGCTTCTTCACAGCAAAGAAAATAATTAAGAACATGCACAGAGAGGCTAGAGATTGGGATAAAATCTTTGCCACCTGCACCTCAGATAGAGCATTAATCTCCAAGATATATAAAGAACTCAAAAAACTTAACACCAAAAAACCAAATGCTCCAATCGATAAATGAGCTAAGAAACTGAACAGATACTTCACAGAATAAGAAATAGGATCAACCAACAAATAAGTGAAGAAATGTACAACATCTCTAGCAATTAGAGAAATGCAAATTAAATCTACACTGCAATTTCATCTCACTCCAGTCAAAATGACAATTATCAAGAATACAAGTAACAGTAAATATTGGTGAGGATATAGGGGGAAAGGCACACTCAAACATTGCTGGTGGGATTGCAAATAGGTGCAACCATTCTGGAAAGCAGTATGGAGATTCTTCAGAAAACTTGAAATGGAACTACCATTTGACCCAATTATCCAGCTCCTTGGTATATACAAACGACTTAAAATCAGCACACCACAGTGACACAGCCACGTCAATGTTTATAGCATCTCAATTCATAACAGCAAAGTATGGTAATTTAGAAAGAATGCCTCATAGTGAAAGGACCAAGAAATTAGATATATGACATGTTCCATTCTTCTCAAGCAAAGTTTAAGGGGGCAGGGAAGTTGTCTGTATTTGTCCATATATAATGGTCTACAAGCGGTCATTTAGCATCACATCTGCAAACATTTTTATATGCCCTGCTCTYCCTAATTCTAAACTTTACATATTATTTGTATTTTATTAGCCAGACAGAATGTCTGAATAACCATACAGAATCTTTGATCTCTACTAAATTATTGATGAGACTATATAAATGGGACATCTTTTTAAAAAGCTGTTTGTTAAAACACACCATCTTGAGTTATAAAATTCTTAACATGTTTCATTTAGACTAAATTGGTTTCCTTTCTTCCTCCAAATTTCTTAATAATGATTCTATTTTCTTTCTGCATTTAGGTCAGTTTTCTTGATATAATAGCTAGATTTTAAAACTTGCATTATTAAACTCCAATGAATGCTAATTAATTTGTTCACATTTGATCTTGATTTTTCCAGATGTTGATGTGGATAAACCAGATGAGAAGTCCATTATGACTTATGTGGCCCAGTTTCTGAAACATTATCCTGACGTCCACAATGCAGGCAGTGATGGGCTAGAGAATGATGTGAGTATCTGTTCCAAGTATTGCTGGTGTGCTCAGTGACCATGGCTCAGGTTTGCATGGCTACTGTTTTCAAAAAGTTAAATTGGAATGCATTTTAATATGAGACCGATCGAGTAAGGAATAGATATCACCAAATGAAAAGGCAATTAGAGGAAAAGGTTTTGCTGGTTTGTATGTTGCTTATTAGAGCATTACTAATAAATGCTATATTTGCAATGCTGATGAATTAAACTGAGGAAAGCAGTGTTGGGAACTCAGTTTTAGTAATTTGAGGATTGAAATAATTTTATGTCTATCACATTTGTACACATAGTTCTTAAGTCTCCTCATTCTGTCTGATCTGATGAAATATAATTTTRACTTATAGATTCAATGTTACCTATTTACAGCAAGCATATGGAAGTAGGGCATAATTTTAAAAGTTGTAATTATTTGCTGTGGTTAGACTTTTCAGCTTTCAATAGTTTAAGTCAAATTTATATTTTTCTTACTGCTCAAATCACATATGTTCAACATCATAATTATTTTACATAAATTTGGGGGAAAAAGGAAAATTACCTTTATTTGACTTTCTAGATAGAACCTATGCTAGGAAAACATTAACATGTCAATGTTAATTCTCAACATTTTTCTTTGTATATGTAGATTCATGATATTTTAAGAAAAATAGAATAATAATATCCATTCAATTTTAAACTTATTTTTCCATGAACATTATGAAGAACTATGCAAGTCATCATGTGTATGATTGCCCATGAATACGAATGTAATGCAAAAATCCTCAGAGATGAAACATGCAAACTCCTGACACAAGCTGTCAGTATTTAGCCAAGTTTATCTGCTGGAAATTTCTAACTTCTCAATATCATAAATAACACTTTTATGAACAGTCTTTTTTATTTTAAACAATTTATTCTAATTAGTTATTCATGATATGAATAGTCTTAAAGCTTTGTTGTAAGATTTGTTCTTAGAAGTAGAATTCCTAGTCTAAACAAAATACAAATTTTAATTCTTTTTAAAATGTTTTTTGAATTTCTGTGTTGAAARTTTGCCCCATATTGCTCTCTATGCAGGAAAGCAAACTACTTATTCTCCCAGTCTATAACAACTATGATAATGGCCATTCTCCTAATAGTTCTGAAATCACACACTCTATTCCTTTTAAATTATAAAGGGGTGGATTTACAGCTGAATTTGTAATGAATCATAAAGCAAAATGACTGCAGGGAAAATAGCAAAAGGAATTTTCAAGATGTACCTCTCTGTATTGCCCTGATCTCAGCTAGACTTTGGAAGCAGTTTGAGATCATGATGAAAGACAATAAGAAAAACAAAACTTAAAATATGTTTCCTAAAACCTCAGAAACAGGTCTAACAAAGGGGAAGGTCAGGGACGTATAAGGCCATATTGTCAAGTGGAAACAACTATTTTACTAATAGAAATCAGTGGCTTCATGAAAGAATTAAAACACAGGTAACTGGTGTTTCCTATGCCTCCTAGTTGAAATTACTATGGTTTTGGATACAGGTGTGCTGGTGCCTTAAATCTATAGTTTTAGAAAATGTTTTTTGTGTCTTGCCAGGATTCAGGCACAGGCACTGACTACCAGAGTAACTTATCCATAGTTAGTAAAGCAAACATTTCAGAGAAGTACACAAAGGGCTAAAGCAAAGACTTTGTGCATGCCAGCATTTTGGAGTCATTTGGGGATTTCAGATTTTTTGACCATATAATTGGACCATGGATGTTGCTGGATGAGTAAGAAACTATAAGAAAACATATTAGACTCACCTCATCCAGCACAGAGTAAATCAGATTTCTATCTGATTTTTATATCTAAAGTTCTTGTATTACTCAGGTGGATTTATATCTGATTTGTTTTCTGAGTTTTTTTCTGTTTTAATTTCTCTGACATGTGTCATCTCAGATAAATACATTTTATAATTGAAAACATCTGAGAAACACAATTAGTTGCTTTAGTGATTGCCTGTGAATAGGAATGTAATGCAAAAATCCTCAGAGAGATGAAACATGCAAACTCCGGACACAAGCTGTCAGTACACTTCATTAGAGTCTTATTATTAGGAGTTTAAGTTTATTATCTGGAAAATAAGTTTTGATCCTTTAAAAAAGGATATCCCTTCCAACTTGTTCCTGAAGAGAGAATCCAAATGGCTTCTTCGTGTGTGTGTGTGTGTGTGTGTGTGTGTTGCTGGGGATTGAACCCAGGGCCTTRTGCATGTAAGGCAAGCACTCTACCAACTGAGCTACATCCCCATCTCCTCTACATGTCTTATTTAGGGTTATTCAAAAAAATCAGTTTGGGGGAAAGTAGATTTTAAGCTTTGTCTTTTTATGTGGTATTTGTAATGTTGGACATAAGCTTCTAAAACTGAATATTCTGAATAATTTTTTAAAATATTCTTAATGATGCAGAGCTTATGTATGTTAATGTTGTTAATGGTCCCTTAATTGTATTTAGTGAATTTTTAAGATTTTTATAGACCGTGTATATTAAAGTGGCTAATATCATCTCCTCAAAGTACTCAATATCTGCCTACTCAGGACTTTTGAGACTCTTGGCATCAAGATACCTACCAGCATTCCAGATTTTTGTGTGCATTTGATTTCTGCATCATCTTTTATGAGTCTGTTTGCATCAGTTATTTTGTGGCTGCTATTTTAACTGTAATTTTCTACCTGGAAGTAGGCATTGTTGTGCCCTACTTCAACCAGTAAAACTTATGAAGAAGCTTTTGAGATATTGCTTCAGTAATTAGTACTTTGTCRTAAGTAAATGAAACAGGGCTGCTGGCTTATCTTCTGGCCCAGTGAAGTTTCATTTATTTTTTGCCTTCCATTGTTCCATTGCAGCAGATACTACTGATGACTCTTAGAAGCAAACCACAGTCAACCATGAGAAAGACACAGAAACGTGTGTGCTGCTGGTGTATCTATAGGGAGAATAGGAGTCCATGTACCTCTTTCTTACCTAGTTCTCCTAAAGTGTTTTAATGTTATTTCAAAATACATTGTGAACTGTATGTGTTGCCCCACAAAGCCATTTCAAGTTTTTTTTTTAATGCCATTTGCCACCAGATAACTACATTGACTTATTGGAAATTATAGAAAAAAGTCCTGAAGTAATTATACCCTTAAAATTATCAGCTATTAATCTACAGAAAAGATGCTTCTTCAGTGATTTTATTCTTGTTTCCTGTATAATTTTTATTCCTAATTTATAGTATGTTTCTATGTATTATTTTTTTTCATATTGTTAGGAAATACTTCCAGTTTTCCCATCTTTTGCAATTTCTATCCAAAGTTTTAAGGTAAGATTTAAGTAACCTTGAATGAGTGACCTATTTTAAATATTCTACATTCTGTAGCCTGTTAGCCATTCCTTTGCATGTGTTGTCCTTATGTATACATTTCTTTTACTACCTTGGTCAATGTTAGTTCTTTTTCTTTCTAACAGAACAAATAACATGCATATGTTATTAAATATTAGCGACAGTCTAAATCACTCCCATGGATTTTTCCACTAATCTTCAATTATGAGACCACATCAATTAACTTCYTTTTAACACTTAACAGCACTAATAAAAAGAATTATATTAGCTATGTTTGGTTTCTTGAAATAAATCTTGAAACAAAGATTTATTTGTATGCCTTATAATATTAAGTAGGGAATAATCAAAAAAGGTGAGTATCACTTCATTTGTCAGTCTGAGGTTCTCCACATCTCTTTTTGCTCAGTAGTGAATTACATAGTTTAATAAAGGACATAATAGGTGCTAAAAGTATTTGTGGACTGAATCACTTTAAATTCTTGCTTACACCTAAATTATTGGGTATTTATTCTACACATTAACWTTTTCAGATTTTWAAAAATATTTTACTTGGGCCTGGGGTTAAACATCTAAGAGTACAGAAGACTTTATGCMAACATTGGAGTAGAAAATCAGAAGTACCAATTTCATGTCAAATATTMAATTAATTTTATTTTATGCTTCATGAAGCATAAGTTTGTGTTATTTTTGTGCTTATTTGAGAGGCAGTGGGGAGAGAAACAGAGGGTAGTGGAGAGAATGGCAACAGTTTAGCTCTTGGAACTTAGGTGATCTTTTGTGGCCAAATAGACCCCAGGTCTTTTGAATGCATGTGAAACTTACCAGTTGAGGAGAAGCCAGTAGACTAATGATTTCTGGGACTCTAAATATTGTTTTGGACTCTAAATTTTGTTTTGGACTTCATTTTCCTCTTAGAAAAGAGAATGTTGAATGTCTAAATAGCGACATCTCTCTTACCTTTTGCAATTTGCTTGATAACTTTCCTACTACCAGAAAGTCGTTTGCTGAATGGACTGGAATAAGTTATTTTAAGGACATAATCCTCCAATGACTGTGTGAAGTAATTTCAATTAGTAACAAACAGCTGTGCTCGGGGCTAGTCCCAAGTGTATTTTAGATGCRGAGCCTAATAAAAGCCTGCCAGTGAAGTTGCACACTCACATCCTCAGGTTCAGGTGTAGTGAGTGCTTCCATTGACCTCTGATACTTGGGAGATAGACCAAGAACATTTATTTGTTCCTCTGAGCTCATTATAATGCATTATCAGTACTTTTCTAGGCACAAAAAAAAACATCCTATAACTCTGATTTTTTTCACCTCATCATTCAAAAGAGCCATCATGGGAAGAGCCAAAACTTTGCAGTGTCTGGGTCTAGTCTCATTTCTTTCTCTTAGTAACTATGATATCAATTAATCATTATTATATAACCATATGTTGCATGGTACTRAGGACCAGACACTGTTAGGCACTGGAGATGAAATCATAGGTGATGGGTTTGTAATTAGGGGGATAAAAAGATAATTAAGGAGACAAACACAATGGCGTGTATTTGGGTGCTGYACARGATCCAGGATCATAGGGAAGTGTTMTCAGTATGTGGTTSCTAAAGCAGCATATCAAGGTTCACCTGAAAACTTGTTAGAGATGCAAATTCTCTTGGATCTTGCTCAGATCTACTGAGCCAGAAAACCTATAGATGTGTCCAGCTATCAGGGTTATCACACCTCACGATTATGTAGTTCCTCCTAAAGTTTGAGAACCATTAGTGTAGAATAGAGACCTCCTGTCCCCAAGAGGCAAGACTTTTTCTGAGTCAGGAAAAACACTCCAGAGAATGTCCAGGGAGAACTGGGAAGACATGTGTTCAGGCAGAAGACAGCTACCACTGTAAGACCAGAAAGTGAGACAAGTTAAGGATCACGTCAACATTGTTTGCCAGTCTCTGTCCTTGGGTGTCTAACATAGATAACCTCCAGTTGTCTCCAAACTATAGGAAGGATTGTGGTAATTTTTCAGATGACGATGCARCATCAGGGAAAGTAAAAAATAAAGAAAGATGTGCCAAGGTCACAGAGCTGATGCACTGCCAAATCAGATGCCAGTTTTGCCTGCCTGTGTAGAGCCTATAGACAGTAATTTAAGGACCATCCTCCAATGACATTTGACCTCTCCATGAGGAAAATCATGTTACCTGTGTCTTAGGACTGAGAGCAGCAASTGAGATCCTATAGTTAAAAGCCATTTGCAAGTGCCAAAAATCACACTAAATGTTCATTATYGCTTTGGCATTCTTATAAGTTATGAAATTAGATGATGAAATTAAATGATGAAAAATTAGAATGTTTTTCCTAAATCAGTGCTATAATGCCTCCTATTATTATTTGTGTAACCAAACGTATAAATTAAGCTGGATGTATTTTTTCAGCAGATAATTTGGTAACTCTCTTATGGGAACTATGCGGCATGGATCTAGGAATATGATATTAAACAAGATAAATATGTTTTATATCTACTTGGAGCTTATGTTATATTGAATATAGGCAATTTATCCAACATTATTCTAATTGCCACTCCTTGAATTTGGTCAAAGTTAATCCTACCCAGAATAGTCCAAGGGTCACCAATAGTTTGGTTTGGGAGGTAATCCACGGGCCTATGTTTTCACTCCAACTATTGTTCTTTCTGATTAATTTTGGATGTAGGACCTTCTCTTTGGATCACATTTTCTTTGTTAGCTTAGTGTTACTTGAGGGGAAAAAATAGAGTTGGATAATTTTGGTATTACCAAGATAATTAAAATATTTTTCCAGAATTAATTTTGCTTCTTACAGTTCAGAAGGAGTGGGAACAAGGAGACAGAAAAATTTTCAAAGACAATTGGGATGTATTACATATTAAGTCTTATTGGTAACTGAATAAATACACAGTTAGTAATAAAATTGCAATGTGTTCTGGTTTTCAGAGAGAAGACAGACTAATTTTGAAGGAAACTAAAGTTTGGATAGAACAATTTGAAAGAGATTTGACGAGGGCACAGATGACAGAATCAAATATGCAGGATAAGTATCAGGTATGATAKAGGAAAGAGATTTCAATTTTTAAAAAACCTTTCATGGATAAGATTTATATGTCATTTAATCTATATAATGTCTCAAGTTATATTGAGAAAATACAATTAGGAAGTAATGTGCACATAAAATAAATTTGTCCATAATATAATAATTACATTTCTATCTGTTTAGGTAGCTTTAAGTTGAGTTGTGTCCACTCTCCATATGGAGTTCTGAGGTGTCRTCGCTTGCTAGACACAGAGTCTTAGAGGTGGCCCAGAAAAGTACCTCGGAGTCATTGTTTTTGTAAAACTTATGGTTTTACAGATGTCACATAACATGAAAGTCCACCAAAAAGAAATGAATAAATAAGTGACTTGAGTCAAATGAAAATTACACTAAGATAGGCTGAATTTAATAAGGGATTGCAACATGAATATTTGGAATAGGTTCATTAAGGCAATCAATTTCAACACTAGTTCAACACTGTTGCACTCCAGTTGAGGTCAGAGTTGTTGTTTCACCCAGTCTCATTACACTGTCATTAATTGGACTTCTGCTTCCAATTTTCACTTCCAAGACACAAAGTCTGTAGCAGGTTTTTCCCATTAAAAAGTTGTGATTTATTCTATGCAGCATTGTCATTTTCCTTCTATTTAAAAATACCACTTCATTTTAGTGGAAAAATTAAATTTGATGTATTTTGGATTATATTCTATAGTATGTTCTACTCTATATTTTAGTCATTTTGGCTGCATCAAAGAGTACAATGATATGAGAGGCTCAACATGTCATACAAAAGATTAATCTATGATGATAGTATGTCATTTCAAGTAAATATGCACAAATTTAAATGGATTATAGTATTATTATTCTATTTATTGAACTTGGCAAAATGATAAATATGTGCTTATTATCCATGTACTATTTGGCTTTGAAACTCAATGTAATCTTTTAAAACAATAAAATTTGGGGGCATGAGCTCCCCTAATAAGTGTTTGAGTTAATAAGTTGAGAAAAACAGACTGAATACRCCTACTGAATCCATTAGTGAGTTTATTTGAGCATAAAATATAAAAAAAAATTCAAGTTACAAAGTACCTGTTGTACAGATATGATTTTGTTAGAGGAAAACAGTTGCTAAGAAAAATATGAAATACAAAAAAGCAGCACTTCTTTTGAGCCACAGTTGATTGCTATGTGTTTAAAAATGGATAGTGACCACCTGAAATCTGTATACCAGGGAAATTTTCTTACATATCTGTATTATATAATCAGTACTTTCTATTTCAAGATCAATAAATACTATATTTTCTATGCACATGCTTTCATAGATTTTGTTCATTTGTTTTGGCTTTTTGTGATGCTGGGGATCAAACCCACTGAACCCCCAAAATGCTTTGTTAATATTTAAATTACATTAAGTTACAGAGAACGGAAGATGAAACTTGTAGTAAAATTTTTATTCACCATCTACCCCCAGTGTTCTGCGTGTGAATTTGCACGTTTGTTTGTAATTTTGAAGTTTTTTTTAAGATGTGTCATCTACTAGACTCTCTAGGGCCTTTCTTCTGCTCTGTAACATAATTGCACATTTTAATGGCATATTCAATTCATAATTTGGATTTAGAGTCACACTTTGGGGTATGATGGTTTAATGTAAAATGTAGAAATTTGAAGACTTTTTATGTTAATATATGGGTAAGCTTACATATTATAAGTTCACTTTAATCATTCTGTGATATATCTGATAATACCATAATATTAAAGGATTTTTATGTAAATGAGATCCCCTAAAATAGATCTACTAATCCAGGCTTGTTTGAACTCAAATTTATATATCTTTAATTCTCTGCTATTTTCATATATGCAATTTTTTCTTGTAAATTGTTTTGTACCTTGGAATGAAACACTGGTGTTCTTGATTATTAGCAAGGATTTATATTCCTGTTTACTATTCTTTCTTGACAAATATAGAATGGTATAAAAATTACTTAACTAGCACTGAGAAATCTAGCCTGTTGTCCGACCTCTACTTTGTGACTCTGCCAAGTCACTTGTGGGCTTCATACTGGTAACTAGTGTCTATGATGTAGGGTTATGGAGAGACCCAGTGAGCACAATATGTAGAAAGTATTGGGCATAGGTTCAAGCTCTGAGTACAGAATCAATGATCACTACTATTGCTTTTATCAGTGTCTATTATCAATAACAGACATGCAGTGCTYTCCAGACATAAAGGATGACTATTTAGGAGCTGTGGTTTCCTTTGCTTTTGCTTTCTTTGACTCATTGCCCTATTTTTTTTTCTGTTTTTCATCTTTTAGTCATTTAAACACTTCAGAGTCCAATATGAAATAAAAAGGAAACAGATTGAACATTTAATTCAACCATTACACAGAGACGGTAAATTGTCACTTGACCAAGCATTGGTAAAACAATCCTGGGACAGAGTGTCCTCCAGGGTAAGTTTCTCCATGATTAATCTCATCAGGGCTTTTGTAATCTAGTCAAGAATATGTTCATCATCTTTCTCTACCCAGCGCTGTTTCACCAGGCCCTGCTGCCTCTGTCTGAGACTGGGAAGGCTGAACTACAAAAGATCTTTGCTTTGTCAGGTTTTTCTGTGCACTAGGGGGAGCCCTTGGGTCAGCAGCTATTTTCCTGCCTGGCTTATCCTACCCGTGCTAGCTTTTCAGTATTGGTAGACTGAGTATCCTGGAAGAGCTTCTAGATTACTTCTCACCATACAAAACTTAGTTCTGGGTTGTTTAGAAAAGGTAACTTGTTTAGAAAAGGTGACTTGTTTTGTAGAAGATTTCCAGGGATAGATAGTCGACTATTTCTCATTCTATAATCACCTTTCATCAATAGTTAAGGATCTTACATGCTGACATACAACCTTACATGCTTGAATGAGAGCATTTCTTTTTATCTGGTCCCTTGTGAATCTGAAGGAAAACTATTCAGTATCTTCATAGCAACATTCTGCATGCTTAAAGGCCAAGATTTCAAACCTCCAGACTTCTTCTACCATCTGTAGGAATATTTGACTTAAATTTGCCATATGCTATTAATTTGGGTAATCTCCCTTTTGACCATTAACTCCATCAAAGAATAGTGCAGTTCCCAAGTACCACAACCATCCTACCTGTACAGACACAGTACACTAAGAAATGGTGCTTGAGAATCAAGTAAAATGGAAGAAATGAAGAGAAGGTTAGAAAATCACAGACTTCTAGAAAGAATCGTCATATCTGTGTCTAAAGCTGTCTAGATAACCTTCATTTTTCTAGGAGGTTTAAATGAGACTCTCATTCTGATAACCAGGGATTTCACATGCTGGTGTATAATTACTGCTGTTTTTGAGCATGTTGGCAAACCTAGTACCTTCTCTTTCTGCAAAAGCCWTAAGAGAATCAGTGGATGCTTTATGCTATTCCCACAAGAAGAAACTTGCTTACATTCATGATAATATTCTTCCATGTTTAAGATGTATCTTAAGTTTCCTCAAAAATTGTTTGTGTCTATAGTTTTCTCCCCATACCCAAAATATCACACTCAGAAATAGATGTTTGTTTAGTTGATATATATTAAATAAACCTGCAATTATTAACTTAAAACTTTCTGTAGACTTTAAAATCATTTGGGGAAATTTTTAAGAATTTTCTTCTGTGCAGAAGATATTTTACTTTTCTCATTTTTTGGAATTTCAGCTCTTTGACTGGCATATACAGCTTGATAAATCTCTTCCTGCGCCTCTGGGCACTATAGGTGCCTGGCTGTACAGGGCAGAGGTGGCCCTGAGAGAGGAAATAACCATTCAGCAAGTCCATGAGGAAACAGCAAACACAATACAACGGAAACTGGAGCAACATAAGGTAAAAATTCTGGTTGGAAAACTTTACAGTCTGACAGAAGCTGCAGTGGAGCCCTCTGAGACATCCATCAGAGACATCCTTCTTAGAAGTTTTCTAATTTACACTTTCCTKTCTTGTACTAAGTCATGAAAATTCCAGTAGGTTTATTTCCTGAGATATTTCCCACTAGCTCTGGGCCATATTTTCAGCCATCTTTGTTATTTCTGCTGCTATATGTTATTTTCTAAAAGATAGGYTTACAGGTAGTATGGATTTACAGGTGATTGGCTCTTGACTCCATCCTCCAAGGAGACCAGGCAAGATTTCTTGGGACCTGGTACTGCAAGGTGGAGTGAGGAAGCCTTGGGAAGTGGTGTTGCTAGAATTTAATGACACCTTAGTCATTTGGGACATTTTCAGTGTAGTGCATGTTCAGTTGTATATAAGTTCCAATGTACTTCTTTGCATTTTGTGATAGTAAAGACCCAGCTAAAATGCTGTTGTTCATTAATGTAGTCATGCAATTTGTAATTGAGCTTCTGTTCCMCATTCTGTGTCATGGTGGTGAGGTTTTACTGAATGTCCTGAAAACTAACTGATCAGCAGAAATTTCTATTCCTGACCACATATGGGCAATTTTTAGATCATGTATATTTTCTCCCAAATTATTGATATTTGTGTGTGTATGAACATACAGTTTTTATTTAGTTAYGCCAAGGAAATAGACTATTATTTATTTAGACTAGATCAAAAGGCAAATTCATGACAAATATCATTTCATGCCTCTCTGGGACCTTATTTCTGGAGCTAGAGATGTAGAAACACAGAAATCCCATGCCATTTACACTTCTGGTCCTTTCAGATCAGCACACTCAAACCCTGATTAGCCCGTCCAACATGACTGACAGCCAGATCCTAAGTCAGCTGTAGACCACACTTGGGTCCTGCCTTCATTTATTCTTGGCCTTTTGGTGCCTGCAGAAACTCCTATTTCTTTTAATTTAAAATAATTTTAATTGACATARTAATTACATATACAATTATAAGTACAATGTGCTGTTGCAATACCTGTATCCATTGTAGAATGATCAAATCAGGGTAGTTAGCGTATTCATTACCTCAAATATTTATCATGTCTTTGTGATGAGAAAATTTAAAATGCTCTCTTAACCATTCTGAAATGCATAGTACATGGCTGTTAACTGAGGTCACCATGTCATGCTAGAGAACACCAGAACCCTCCCCCCATCTAGAACTTTGTTCTCATTGTCCAGGGTCTCCCTTTCCCCATCCACGTCCTCCATCCCAGGCCTCKGCTAACCACCATTCTACCCTGTACTTCTATGGGTTCAACTTTTTTAGATTCTACCTGTCATTGAGATCAATTATACAAAATCATATGATATTTGTCTCCCATTCCCCCTCCTCCCCCTCAATCCCCTTCATCTGGTTCACTCATCTGTCTTCGGTTTTGATGGAATTCCCTCCCTACCTTTTCCCTTTTTCTTCTCCTATTTTAAAAGGCATACTTGTTTCCTTGCCATTATCAAGTTCATTATATATTTCAGGTGTTAGCGCCTTATGCAAAGTATGATTTGAAAATATTGTCTTCCAGTCTGTGAGTTGTCTTCACTCTCTTGATGGTCTCCTTTGCTCTGTAGGAAATGTGGAGATAGAGATGATCTCATTTGTCTGRTTTTGCTTCTGCTGCCTGTGCTTTGGGGTTCATATCTAAGAACTCATTGCCCAGGTCAATGTCATAGAGCTTTCCATAGGGAAGTTTTCTTCTAATGGTTATACCATTTCCTTTCTTATGTTTAAATATTTAATCCATTTTTTAGTTGAAATAAGGGTCCATTTTCATTCTTCTGTATGGATATCAGCTTYCCCAACACCATTTGAGTTCAGGCTTTGAGAAGAAATGGAGTCACAAGTTTTCCTAGTTTGGGCCACATTCAGACTTCTCAGAAGCATAGAAACATTAGGCCATTTTGAAACTCCTAATATATTAAAAATAGAAAAAAATGCCAAATAATACCACTTAATAAATTAGCAATTAAGCATATGTAACATGTAATAATTTCTCTTCCTGGGTTGTGAGGGGAAAGGGAAAAAAATTTTAAAAACCAAGGGAGAGAATTAAATTACAGCAGATGGGACAGAGAGAGAAGATGGGAGGGGAGGGGAGGGGGGATAGTAGGGGATAGGAAAGGTAGCAGAATACAACAGTTACTAATATGGCATTATGTAAAAATGTGATGTGTAACCGATATGATTCTGCAATCTGTATACGGGGTAAAAATGGGAGTTCATAACCCACTTGAGTCTAAAGTATGAAATATGATATGTCAAGAGCTTTGTAATGTTTTGAACAACCAATACAAAAAAAGAAAAAAAAATTCTCTTCCTATGAAACATGTAATAATTGAAACTATTTTAATTTCTGTGAATATTTGATACAGAATAATTCATTTTTAAAATGTACTATGTATACTAATTTTGAGTTGAATGTTAATTCAGAAAAATGAATACCATGGGTTAGCTCTGTGCTGGATTTCAGCACAGGGCAAATGGGTGCCCGTGACAGATAAGGCCCTGGTACTTGTGGTGCCTTTAAACTGAAGGTTTGAGAAACACTGGTGTGCTTGTTGTTTACATAGTAGATTTATACCACAGGGAAAATGTTCAACAATGCAACTKCCCTATTTGCTAGATAATTGTAGGGTTTTATAGGAATATCAATTCAAGGTTCACTATAGATGACATCAGCCCCTGACAGGAAAGCTTTAAGTTGGATGATGTGTGTACTAATCTGTATACTTCAGTGACTGTAGAATTTGAAGCCCTTTCTGGATCCCGGAGAGAGAGAGAAAGAGGTAGAGACCGAGACACAGAAAGAGGGACAGAAAGAGAAGAAGGAGAGACACTGTGCCAACTGCCTGCATTACAAGTAGAGGAAGTCTCTCTACTGGAGTGTAGTAAACAAGCCACATTAACCAGAAAAGAAGTGGAGCTGGGAGACCCACAAGGACAGTAGTCAGAGAAGATGGTTATCTGAGATTAACAAAAGGACAGAAAAAAGAGAAAACTGGGCATGCAATAGAGACAATAGGAAGCAAGCAAAGGCAAGTAGGAACAAAGGCCAGGTTCAAGGTGAATCTCTGAATCATTATTTTATTGAGACAGAAACTTTTACTAGGCCTGGGCACAGTTACTTAAAATAGCACAATCCTGATACAATGAAATTATCAATTACAAGATCAATTCTAATTTGTTCAAAAATACATTTATTTGTTAAATGCCTCAGATAAGCTAGATTTTAAAAAGTGAGACATTTAAATMATTGCTGAGATGATTAAAATTCTAGGTTCCCTCAATAACATTAAATCAGGGTATCAGTTTGAAGCATCTACCCTATACCTGATCAGAGATTCAATAATTTGAGAAAAGAGCATTATAGAACTTAATTCAGAAAAAGTGATTCCAAGTCTTGTCAAGAAAACTTAAACATGGTGTAATAATTGAGAATGTTTGGTTTTCTGCCCTCCTCACACATTTTTTAGAAATATAACACCATTTCTTCATTTTTAATACATAGGCAGTGTTTGTAAATTGGATTCAGATCATTTCTAACATGCATGTTTCAAAGAGTTTACTTTGTGAAAGGTTCTGCCAATTCTTTTTCTTTTTAGTATTTTTTAAAAAGTTAACTTACATTTATAACAGAATATATTTATATTGCAATGCAAATTATACCCATACTATCTTTTCTATCTTCCAGATACCCCAGGGCTCAGTTATCTAGTAAAATAACAATGAACATAGTTAATTACGAGGGAGGATTTAACCATGTTTTTGGTCCTAAATATTTAATTTTTGCTGAATCCATAATGACATATTTGAGACAGGTAGTATTGTTGTCTTATGCAAAAGGCAGAGAGAGGTTAAGTGACTTTCCCAAGGCATCACCGCTGATAATCTCAGTTGTCTTGAGCATTAAGATTAAAATGTGCCTGCAGAGCTATTGACTGTAGCACATGTAGAATGAGGTTTATTGGGAGTCTTATTGCTTTAACAAAGTAAGGCTTTCAAGTCTTAAGCAATCATGAGACTGGCTCTTAGACTCCATGTCTCCCAGGGTTGTCTCCCCTACCTAGGTCACTCTTCCTCCTTTCTAGATGGTGCTTAGTGTTTAGTGATCTCAGGAAGCCACAGGTGGTTCTCCCAATATCCTGGCCTCTGAGTACCTTGACCATCTCCTCCTCATGACCGTGTCCTTTGTCCCACCTTGACTGCCCACTCCGTGGTCACAGCTGGCAGTGGTCATCATCAAAAGCTGAAACCTCCACCCCGCTTTGCCGAGCATCTCTTCTGCCACACGTGACTTCACCCTCGATGACCTATATGCCACTGATGCTCTGGCTTTTTCCGGCATCCCACCCTCTTCATTTCACCCCTGCCCTCTGGGCCCTTCCCTCAGTGTTCAAAAGAGTCACCCCTTGTGCATTTCTCAGTSCCTTATGCATATCTCACTTTGTCCTACTATCCTGGTTTTAAAAAAAAAAAATAGTGCTGGTGCAAACCCACCTCTGCCTCTGCCTGGTTGGTCCCACACACAGKGAGCTGACTGTGGCTGCAGGAAAACACCCCCCACCCCCACACAGTGACTAACCCACCTGGGCCCTCAGGCTGGTTGGCTCTCCCAGGGCATTTCCCAACTCACTCYTCCATTTCTGGGACAACTATTTTATGCTCCCTTTCCCCAAGCCTTCCACACCTCCTCCCCATCCTCATTCTTAGCTGTTGACATTGCTTCCTATTTCTCTGAGAAAATAGAAGCCACCAGAAAAGAATTTCCGCAGCTCCCACAACCACATCAGCCCACCTACTTGCATCTGTGCCTGAATACTCGGTCTCCACTCCTGTTACTATGGATGAACCATCTGTGCGCCCGGCTCAGGCCAATCCCTCTGCGAGTGCCTCGAGCCCATCCTCCCTCTCYCTCCAGGGGAGAATTCCTG